TTGGAAACTAGCCAAAATTTGAACATCCTAAAAGACTTCTAACCCTTTTTTACGATCTTCAGAATATAACCTCAAGTATATATATACTCAAAATCTCTTTCGTAGAGAATCCCCTTTATATGCTGCTCAACTTTCATGTCTTCTTTCTTATAGAGCTCGAAACTGAATTTTGGTTGAAATTTTAAAGGTATAAAGGCCATTTTCGTCAAGCCATCTCTCTGGCCGAAATTCTTTTGCATCATCAACCCCATAGAAATTTCATCCTTGCCATGCCATAAGCGTGTTATCCCACCATATCCCCTTTCATCTGGCCATGTATCATCAGATAAGCAAATCTTCGCATTCTATGCCAACATCACTGAAACTTGTTAAAAAGTAATATCAACGATTCAAACTCAGAAAAAAACTAGGGAGTGCTACTTATATAAGCTTGAAATAGCAATTGTGCTTGGACATTAATTGCATTTCATGCTTTAGATTTAAGATGTGTTAACGTATCAATGGAACTGCAGGATAGAGCCTGATTGTCTCAGTTAAAAGCAGCAACCAGATAATGCATTTTGTCTTTCACATTTGTTGCTTCTCTAACTTCCTTTGCAACCTTTTCTTGTACGTGAGGATGCTTGCAGAGAATTCAAGAACAACCCCATCGATTTCAATCATGCTACAGCCTGGGACCTCCTTTTCGATCCCTCTTTCTTTCATTAAGGATTTGATTCTCTTTACGTCATCAAATCTACTAGCTTTGGCATATATATCACACAAGTTCAGGTTCAGAGGTTCCAAATCAATTAAATATTGCGCCACCCTTTATCCTAACTCGACCTTTCCATGTATTTGACAGCCTCCGAGTAAACAAATGCATATGGCTTCATTGGCATGCTGCTTATAAACCGTTCTGCCTCTTCAATCAGCCCGGCACGACTAAGCATATCAACCGTGCTTGCATGGTGATAGAGCTGCGGTTCAATTAAGTAAACCTACGCTTCATCACACCAAAACACGAGCGACCTTTCTCTACTAAACCAGAATGAGCACAAGCTGACAATAGCCCAAAAAATGTCACATGGTTCGGCTTCACCCAAGTTGTTTCCATCTGTCTAAACACACCAAAATCCTCATTGCCAAATCCATGGAGAGCCAACACTAAAATCAGAGCTGAAAGACCTCATACGCTTTGTCCACACATCCGCACTTACCATACATGTCAACCAGAGCTGTCCCAATGACCACATGACTCTCCAGGCCACTTCTCCTCAGGTACCCATTCACCCATATTCCATGATCAATTGCACCAAGATGAGAACAAGCTGCAAGGACACTGGCAATTGTGATCTTATCCGGTCTAACCGTATCACAACTGGTGATGTGCATGTCATGGAAAAGTTCCAAGGCCTCCTTTGGCCGACCACCTTGAACAGACCCAGTAATCATGGAATTCCAAGTGCTAATGTTTCTGTTGTTCATCTTTCCAAACACATTCAATGCCTCATCAAGATTCCCACTTTTTGCAAATCCCCTTAATCATCGAGTTCCACGAAACAACATCCCTTCCCAACATTTCATCAAACAATGTACGTGCACTATTCAAAAACCCACACGCAGAGTCCATACCAATCAACGAATTTTGAACAAAAACATCATACTTAACGACTTGTGCATGGAAGGTCTGGCCTGGGCCGCCATTCTTTTACAAGGAACGGAAAAGTGAGACAATTACGGGAAATGATGACATCGCAGAGCATTTGCCTATACAGCAACAACCACCCAAACTTTTCTTTAAACCCAGGAAAAAAAAAAAAAAAAAAAAAAAAAAAGACCTAGGCGGGAACATGGCTGAATACTTCTCAAGCTAGAGAAATGACATGCGTGGAAGTTTTTCAAAATGAAATCGACTCAAATGTTGCAGAGAGCCTAAGACAAGTGACAAAATCAATCGATGAGCTCCCTGGTATGATCCGAGTGCAGCAGCAGCAGCAGCTCTTTCCCAGACAGCAGACGTCACCGTTTCACAGGATGGGAGTGGAAAATTCAAGAGAATAATGGATGCCATTGCGGCTGCACCAAGCCATAGCCAGAAGCAGTTTGTGATATTTGTGAAGAAAGGAGTTTACAAAGAATATGTGAAGATTGATAAAACAAAGACTAGGCGGGCGCCTAGCGCCAAGGCGGGTTTAGTTTTTTTTTATTTTTTTATTTTTATAAATATTTTATTTTATTTTATTTTATTTTTCGAAGGATGTACTTTGGATAAAACCAAAATTAATATCAATGCAAAGTACAATGGCATTGATATGGAATATATATATTGCTTGTATATAAAAAAAGACTAAAATATGAAATATATGTGTGTATATATATACAGTCACCTTTCTTTTATATACTAGAGCTTAACTCATCGCAATTTCTTTTATCTATCTTGAAAACAGTGGCGGACCTATTAAGGCGCAAGGAGGTGCAGCTGCACCCCCCCTCGCCGGAAAAACCATTGTAAGTGCTTCAAATTGCCCCTTTGATGGACAGATTACCTTATTTCCATTATCAACATTTAAGTAAATGTCTTTGTCCTTTTACTTTCATTTATTTTTATATTACTCAATTTACTTAAGTTTACAATGTAAATAGGGAAGTACCCCCCATTTGGATTCAAATAAAAATACTAGAAAATCAAATTCCCACCAAATCAAAATATGAAAAATCGGTTTTAGTGCAAAATACGATTTAGGCTAAAAATGATGGCTCATTAAGACAATAAATACTTCATACTAAAATCCCATAAAATCAAGTTTTCTTATTTGATGTGTAAGGAATAAAAGCCGCCAAAAATTATCTTGAGAAAATGATTATTCCGAAAAATCATTTTTCATACTTAGTCAATATTGCACATTCGCTAAAAAATTTCTGGGTCTGCCAGTTGTTGAAAACACATAAGACTTGTGAAAAGGAAAATGCCCATGTTAATGGTACCTTGGGTATCAAGAAACTGAACAAGTTGAGCTTGCAGTTGAGGGAATAAGAAGATTGGTGGATTTGAGTGGGGAGAAATATATGGAAGGAAATTTTTGAAAACTAGCCAAAACTTGAAAATCCTAAAAGACTAAAAACCCTTTTTTACAATCCCGTCTTCAAAATATAACCTTAAATATATACTAAAAATCTCGTTCGCACAGAATTTCCTGCTCATTTCATCTCTTATATAGAGCTCGAAACTGAATTTTGATTTTAAGGGTATGAATTTTTGTGGCATAAGTAAGAATTAAATGCTAGAGCTCGAACTCGGTCAGGATTTCAAGGGACGTCTCAATTTTTTGATGCAAAGTAAGAAACTAAATGCTTTCCTAGCTTTAGTTCATTTGGTAGGAGATGTGTTTCAAGTCGAAGTATAGGTAACAAATCATTAAAAAAGAAAATTGTGCATTGTATATCATACTATATATAATCCATAAATGTCATCCAAAGATAAATATCATGATTCATAAATCGTATTCTCCCATACAACCAATCTAGTGGTGCAGTGTATATCGTATTCTACGTACATATATATATATATACACACTCATACAAGACATTCTTGTTCATAGTGTAACATTTCTTTGCCTTCTCTCTAAGTTGCCCTTTTTTTTTTCTCTCGTCATTTACATTTTCTGGTGCTATGAGTCCATCATGAAGTTGTTCTGCCATTTCATTTTTTTCATTATTTGTTTATCTTCTCTGTCCATTGACCTCCATGCTGATAATGTTGACCCCCACTTGATAAATGTTTCTTTGCCTGTATTCAAAAACTCATTGGAGAAGGCCAAGGAACTTGTGCAAAATGTGGCCTCTACCATGTCACATATGCATGCTTGTGAAGATTATGAAAATTCTACTAATATGGTCATTTCATATTGTGAGGATTTGCTTGGTGAAACTGCTGAAGTCTTGGATTGGTCTCTTTCCACAATTGATGATCTTAAAGGTTCATATAACGTACATAAGACAACATGCATATTTACTTTGATTTTTTGTCCATTGTTTTATCTTGCTATATTATTTGAAGTTCCCTTTCTCACACTATGATACGTGTGACATTGACACATGATGTTTATGTAAAACTTATATATATTTCTTGCAAAACAACGGTTTTACTACTAATTGTCGTCTGGGGCATTAAGACGGCAGTGTTTCTGGCATTCGTCGTCTATTTAATTTCTTGTTGTAGTGTTGGATTACTGACAAGAAAATTTGTTTATCCATGGCACAGCTGATGTCGTTTCCCATATGAGAACATGGCTGAATACTTCTCAAGCCAGAGAAACGACATGCATGGAAGTTTCTCAAAGGTTGCAGAGAGCCTAAGACAAGTGACAAAATCAATCGATGAGCTCCTTGGTATGATCCAAGTGCAGCAGCAGCTCTTTCCCAGACAGCAGACGTCACCGTTTCACAGGATGGGAGTGGGAAATTCAAGCGAATAATGGATGCCATTGCGGCTGCACCAACCCATAGCCAGAAGCAGTTTGTGATATTTGTGAAGAAAGAAGTTTACAAAGAATATGTAAAGATTGATAAAACGAAGATGAACTTGGTGTTAATTGTAGAGAGCATGACCTTGGAGCAAATATGCACGTACCGTGTTCATGAAGTCATTAATGAGTAACGTTATAAGGTCAGAGGGTTTGCTGTAGTGGAATGGGGAAATCTGCTCTGAGCACTCTGTATTATGCTGAGCACATGAACAATGCCCCAGGTGCCTCCATTTCAAACCGGATCAAGTGGCTCAGCTATCATGTCATTACTGAGGCGTCCAAGGCCAATTCCTTTACAGTCGCCAAGTTTATTGGTGGCAACTCTTGGCTGCCATCCACCGGTGTCCCATTTGCGCCAGGGTTATAGCCTAGGATGTATCTTATAGGAGATTTGGTTTAGGGTTTGGCAATGAACAAAGTCTAACCCAATTTCCCAACACACACTGTTGATCTTAATGCAATCTATGCAGAGTTGTTCTCAATGTCTATACCTGCGATCAATTGGTTTATTGCATTATAGTAAGATGGGTTGGGAGGGGGAAAGGAAGGGAAGTCAGTTTTTACAGGGAAAATTACTTTACTGGATACAGGGGCAACAAATTCAACCCATTTTCTCAAATGAATGAATAGTTAAAGAAAAAAAGGGTCCTTTCTTTTATCATTGATTATATGACTGCAGATAGATGATCATTTCCAAATTATGTCTCCTAGAAATCTAAGGGCGGGAACACCTCTGATCTCCATATCAACTAGTGGTGCCTGGATCAACGTCAGGCTGGCAAGCTCTGTATCACTCCGGATCATATCAAGAGCACGTAACTGATCCTGAGGTATTTAGAAAGAAAAATTAATTAGAATTCCTTGCCGCCAACCAAACATGTAAGAATATTAAGAAACATAATAAATCGAACACAAGCGTGGGTCCCACATGTAATGCCCATGGGTGGTGCTCACCCCATCCATATGAGATGGAAGAGCATTATCTTTGAAGCACAATATATTTTTTTGCACGGTCTGGACAGTTCTTGCATTCAACTGGTTATTAGTTTCATCAAAATATCATCATTTTACTAGATGCCACAAAAAACGCACATTCTGCCAAAAGGACAGAGGGTGAATGCATTTCCTACCCGAAATTAAAAGGAGAGTAGATTAACACCTTTCTTTTTATTGAACAAAATTTGCAGTCTGAGGCAGATGGGGGAAGAATCTGATTAACAATAAGTCTATTCACAGGAACACTTTCCTTCTTCAAAGAGGCATGCAACCTAGATGACTCACTGACTGCCATCACCTTGGGAAGAACAAGAAAAACAAAAGTGTGAACAATCGATGAGAAGCAAATTTTTCATCCAACATTGAACATATTTAGCCAACTTCCAAGCAAATGATGCTCACTAGGAAGGAAAAAGGAGGAAATATAATATGCAGGGATCCATCTTTTTACAAGATTAAATTCTACACTGTAGAATATAAATCAAGTAAACAGATCTCTATTAAAGTGAACTCATAACAAATTAAATTACAGCATAAAGGAAAACAACATTTGCAAAAAATCACAAACATCCAGTATCAAACCACATTTTCAAAGATCTTACCGTGGGTATTGTTACTATGACAAACTCTGTGGAATCAGTATCGCGGAAAAGCTCACGCACTTTAATCATCCTCTCTCTGAGTTGCTCTAATTTGTCAGCCTGCATTGAAGTTTTACAATTAAAAGGTTAGCATACTTGTCTAGGAAGCAGAGTATAAAAACAGATCAAAGTATCAGACTTACTGCGCCCAGTTGAGGTTGCTCTTGCCCAAAGACAGATTTGATAGCTGATGTGGCTGAAGATATCTTCTGTTTAAGCTGTATAACAGAAAATGTTAACTATTTGCAAATTAAGAGAACAAGCAATTAGTAGCAAACATGTCTACACAGGTAAGAATGCTAAAATTCATTTGAGATTAGCCATATATTTTTTGTCTTTTCAGTTGCAGACTAGCCATATGTTTACGAGGAAATACAATATGCTACAATCAAGTGATCCCAGAACCAGGGGAAAATGTCTTCCACTTTCCAATTGCCAATTCTTTTTTTATTTTGCCTGGATATTATGAGCGTCAACACCAACAAAGTTAGCTTACTTCAGTCATCAGAGCTTTTATCCATAAATTACATCAAGCATTTACTCCTTTAAACTTCTAAGAAAATAAACTACGAAAAAAAATGGCATACATTTTTCCAGCAACAATACTTCTCAAGCAATTAGTCAAAAAACAAAGTCAATATTATGTTGTTGGTAACTAGAATCAAGTAACTAGAACATTTGGGTATAGCAGTCATTCTATCAAAACTTCAGAGGAGTGCAGCAGACTTCAACTGCTCATAAATTATCTCCTAATTTAAATTTCAAGTCATATGATGCATTTAATTCCAAAAAGAAAAACACATGCACACATTTCTATAGTTATTCATTCTAAGTTGATATCATTACCTTCAATATCTTGCCAATTGATGCATCCAAAAAGTCTGGCAAGGACAAAAGCCGCAATGTGTGACCCTGTTAACAATATCTCATCATAGTGAGCTAATTCCAACATTTTAAAAAATAAAATAAAATTTGAGGTGACAAAATCAGAATCAATATTTTCTCACCGTGGGTGCAGTATCAAAAACAATACGAGTAAACATGCTATATTCCGGGGATTCAAGAAATTGTATCACCTGGAAAGAGGATTAAACATTAATAGAAGAGCAAAAAAGATTTTGAGCATGTTGGCAAGCCAAAAAAGGCATACCTTGGAAATTGCAATAGCTTCATCCAAACCAGGAGGAGGTGTGTCTAGTAATTCTCCCAGTTTTAACTCTCCTAACTTCAACCATAAAAATAATGATAATAATAAAACACAAAGGTTAAAGAGAGAAGCAAGGATCGCCATAAAGCATAAGTGAATCTATATTGGTACATATGCTCCTTTTATACATGGAAACGCTATACTAATTAGATCATGATGTGAGAATATAAGTGTGCAACATATCAGTTAGGCCTTTAATGGCTTAAGGACATCCATATCACATAAAAATAGGATCAAAAGATGAAAACTACAACTCAAGTTGCAATACCAATATCTCCAAATAAAAGCTTTTACCTGTTCCGCAAGCATCCCAAGGCCCATACCATCCATGAAATCTTTGACTCCTGTTCCACCATTTTGCTGATTTACATTACGGAATTCTTCCCTTGCCTTCTCAGGGTTTATCTGTGGTAAAGTTATTAGTTTAACTACGTACACTATGTATAAGATTACAAAACCATACTAAGAAACGCTAACAACCGATTAATCATTGTAATGGTCATCTCATAAAACAAATACCGCAAACAGAGAATTACATGAAGAAAACTCATATACAAAGCTAACTCCACACCTCAAGAGCAAAAAGCGGAGCTTCGGGCCCATCAACTGGTACAAGTGTCCCTCCAGTCAAATCCTAGGACAAGATAACATATACAATTATAAAATATTTGTGCACATACAAGCATACCTATTACAACCAGTTCTACTTTGCAGGAAATGTGAATACTTTAAAACATTAATAACTGAGAGTGTTTTAAACCTGAGCAAAGGAATCACTCAAGGAATGTGCTGGATCAGTGGAAACCACAAGAGTGGGATGCCCATTATTAGCAAATTTTACAGCAAGTGACGCAGCACAACTTGTTTTTCCTACACCGCCCTTCCCGCCTAACAAGTAATACTTTCTCTGAGTCCCAGAAACCATGTCATCAAACCCGGCAACAGCTTCTGCCGGAGCGGCAACTGATCTCACTGACCAAAATTAAGACATAGTATAAATGAAAAAGATTCATTCTGACACACTCAACTTTGCACTGTCAAAAATCCCATAATAACATCACAAACTTCTCTTTCTAAATTATACTTCTAAACTTGTGAGGCACTTAGAATAAAACAAGCCCTAACGCCTAAACAGAGACAAATAAATTCCATGATGGAAATCACAGCCAGCATATGATTAGATGTGGCTTTTCATACAAACAATTACATTTAAAGTGAACTCATCAAGAACTTACTCATTTTAGAGAAAACAAGAGGGAGAGAGAAATGAAGTCTCAATTTTCTGATATTATTTCTAAACAGCAGCATAGGGCTTGGTTGAGAGAAGACATTATCTGTTGGGTCTCAATATAACAAAAACTAAAGATTCAAACTTCTTTCATTTTCAATAATTGTCAGGAACCAAAGCAAAATTTTATACATAGAAGAAACCAAACATGAACTACCGATCAACCAGTATATTAGGTGCCTATTAATAGTCCAAGAAACTTAACGTCAGTATAATTTTCACCTGTATAGGAAGTGGATGGTTTCACAGCAAGAGAGAGAAATTTCACAGAAGGGGGAAAAAATTGATAATGGGGCTTCTTCCTAAAACATATTTTTCAAGAGTAAACATTTTGTTTCCGTCATTCACAATTCTTACACACTACACAGTGGATTGACTCCAACTTATTGGTTAAAGAAAAGCAAGTTCTTAGCCATGATCTCCTCTGTTTCCTTCAATTAGAGCCAAAGATACAAACAGACTCCAGTACATATAATATACCAAAGTGCAAGTGCTTTGAACAGAAACTTTCATCCCCAACCTCCACTCATTCCAGTACGAGTGGAGGTTGGCACATATTCAACAGAAAAATATTACTAAAAACCCATTTTCCTCATAGCCAAAAAAATAAAAAAATAAAAAAAATCTCCTTATTCTCACTAATTCCCACTTCAATTTCAGTCATTTATCCAATACATTTTCTTCTCTACCAAGGTAAACCAGTTGCTCTAAAATAATAACCAATAAAATTACAACCATGTTGCTACTGCTTCGAACCACATGAGTTCAATACCCATTAAAACCATCAATTGAAAAGAAAATAAATCCGAAATGTCAAAGCAACTAGCTAAAATCACAGACAAGTTTCAATTATGACTCAAAAAATATAATCTAATCTACAAAAAATTCAGACCCACATGATAAATAACAGTCGATATTGAAGAAAGACACTACCTTGGAATTGGAACAATTTTCCCGGTGGTTTTCTGGCGGTGGAAAGTGAGCTGAAGCTGAAGCTTTCGGTAAGAGAGAGAGGCCTGAGGCTTTTGGGGGCATAAGAGAGCAAACCCACCATGGTCATGGAGTTTCTGGTAGTCAAGTTGTGAAGAATAGGTGAAAAAGTGGAGGGAATACACGTACTCGCCATGGTTTCTGGAAAGGGAGAGAATTTCAGTTTGAGTGTTACTTCGGTCGGTTGGCGTTTATATAAGCTCAGACTCGGTACCCAGATGGAGCTCAAGTACTTGACCCGTTATCCGTAACCACTTTTATATTTGGAAATAATGTATATTTTGAGAGTGATTTAATTTAATTTAGACAATAAAAATTAATTAATTCTAACACAAACAATATTAGCAAAAGGGATAAGCAAAACTCAATTCTGTTTCATAACCACTTGTGCTGCGAACTCCTCGGAATAAAAACTAATCTCCAAGCCATTCAACTAAAATGACTAGGGTGATATTCACTTGTTGTTTTCAGGAGTATTGAAGCAATTTTTGTTTTTTCAAATTTGAACAGAAATTGCCATTTAAATCAAACAACCAACAAGTTAACGCGTTTTCTAGGAGTATTCATCAAATTAAGTTGATTAAATTCTTGTTTTTCATTGCTATTATTTAGATGAAATCGCCCTTTTGCCTCTTTTTTTTTTCCTTACTTTTTTGGGTTTGCGGTATTATATATTTGAGCAGACACTAAATGCTGGCTTCATACTTACCACCCGAATGGCAATCGGGTTTGGGCCAGATCACATATCTCCCAATGAATTCTCAAGCCTAAGTACCCTTACGTTCACAAATTCCCTACCCAAAATGGAAGCACTAAGCATAGATCACCTTGTTAATCTTCATCAAACACAGAAAAAGGCTTTTCTAAGTGAAACTTGACATTGCCAAATCAAACTAAGGTTCAGCTTTTGTACACAACTTTAAAATGTTTACATGAATGCTGCATTATAATAGCTAAAGCTCAATCATTTCAAACTTTCTTTCCAGCTAAATCTTCAACAGTCAGATTCAGTGTATCAGCAGAACCTTTTTTCACCTCCTCCCCGCGGGCAGCCAGAAAGTCCTCGATGGTTCCAGGTGCTCCAAAGTACCCAAGATGATCAGCAATCAGGTGGAGATTGTCACACCCACCACAACGCGCTACCACCACACCGCTCTCGTATGATTCTCGACTACACGTCTTCATAGATCTTGTTTCACAGACCTTGCAAGTAAAAAGCATGGCAAGGTCATGCCTTGGGGATGTTTTCAAGTTGGCAGCAGCAGAAAATTTGACATCAGAACTGTTGATAGCATTTGAGAGGGACGGAGAGTTATTCGAGTCACAATTAGGCTTCAAACTGCCATCTCCATGATCTGCCAAACCCTCATTAACCAGATTGGTTGCATTTGTTTGCGTCTGAAAATCCCTTTTGTCAAATCCATATTTCCCGAGTACAGAACTCACAGAAGGAACAAATTGCTCTGCCAACAACAATTTGCAAAACAAAAGTTAATCAAAATTGTATACCCAACAAGTTCTTCAGCCCAAAGGGAGAGGCAAAGGAGGACTGTCATGGAAATAGATCAACAAAAGGAACTTCAACTTTTTCTTATTTTTTTTCAAATGTTCAGTCACAAAACTCACAACATACTCATAGTCTTCTGTATCTAAATTGATGAGTTGCACGTACTATGGGTGCCCATGTCTGTGTTTTTTGAAGGTCAACAAGCAAATAACACCAATATCCTAAAACCATGAATAGATTAACATAAAATGAATAAACCATCTAATACTTAAATGCAATTTGTGAACTCTATTTCTCAAACTGTTCAGCCAAATTTTCAAGTGTTCCATGTTACAGATATTGTTGGAGTACATTTTGGAGTACATTCACCTCAGGAAATTTTCCTCCTAATCCTAACCCGGCATCCAAAAATAACACTCATCCTATGAGGAATTAGAGAAAGAACCACCAATGGATGACCATGAAAACTGCAGAGTTCCTAAATTAATGCCCTTCAAGTTAATCTCTTATGCCAATTAGCCCAATTGTAAATAGAGGGTGATCCCATAAAGATGATAAATTTTCTTCATACAGACCAAAACATAGCAAGGTGGAGGCTTTTTCTAGCCTGATCAATTTTTGGATTTGTAATGGCAATCAAATTTCATATTTTTCGTTGATGAAAACAAAACCCCACCAAAATCAACTAAGAAACCCCAATTTCGCAAACATGATTTCTTGGTTTTTTTTGAGTGGGCAATAGAGAGCGGGGGCTAACCTTTGAAGAGTTTGGCGTGCTGCTGCTGATTGCTGGGGAAGAGTGAGCCTATGCGCCTCTGCAACATCCGAGCAGCCATGGTCGATTTCTCAAGCTTTGGCGGTTCAAGGTCGGTTTAAGTCAAGTGAGCGGTAATAATAGACGATATTTACCAACAGAGAATGGGGTGTCCTCCAAGTTTTTTCTTTTTTCTTTAATTTATTGGGGTGCCCTCCAAGTTTTGTCCCTAATTAATTAGAAAGGCCACTAACTCGATTAAATATTCTCTAGACTTATCTCCAAAAAAATGTATACATATATAGAGTTATTTACACTAATACTTTTCAGGTTTTCGACTTTTTCACAAGACCCCCCGAATTTTGAAAATTATACGAATATCCCCTGAAGTTTTAAATTGTTTTCACAAAATCCTTGTTCGTTGATTTTTAATTCAAAGAATGATGATTTTTATATATATATATATAATTTCGTATAATGAGAAAGTTAGCCTTTAAGATTAGATTGCTAACACATTCATTGAGGTTGATTTTGTCCTTTGCACACGTTTTTAAAAATGAAATTATCAAGTTTTGGACAAACAATCAACGAAAATGGTTTTTGGGAAAACAAATTGAAACCTCAGGAGGTGTTTGTGTAATTTTTGAATTCTCAGGGGTTTGTGAAAATGCCGAAAACCTAAAAGAGTGTTACTGTAAATAACTCTATATATATATAGAGAGAGAGAGAGAGAGTTTTTCTCTAATGCGGACGTTTGCATTTTGTTAAACTACGGTTGCCCACAAATTTGCCAATATATATGTATATACAAGTAAAAACATACATGCCGCCAAATCACTTTCACCTTGCCAGAGGTGTGCGCCCTGCAAAAAGTATCCCAAATGTGGGAATATGGAGATGCAGAAAAAGAAGAAGCAGTACCATTGGTTGCTCTCAAGGCTCTTGCAACATGTTAAGCACTTTGTATTGTAAACTGCCATTTTTAATCAATGAATCCAACGGCTTTCTACTGCTAATTGGAATTGCACGAATCAAATCCACCTCGTCTGCCAAAAACAAGTTGCAAAGTGGACAACTGTAATTTAACAAAATGCGAACATCCGTGTTAGAGAAAAACTATATATATATATACAGAGAGCTTTAGTTGAGAGATCCTTATTTGAGGGACATCCTTGTAAGGCTCACTTCGCATAGTATTTCATTAATCCAAACTGTCTATTTTGTAGATATTCATTCAAAGATCATCTCTACAAAAAAAATCTCACTTGAATTCGATATCATTTGACGACTCAATTAAATTATTAAAATTTTAATACTTCTTTGAAGCACCATATTTATTGATTTTGTATGACACAATTAGATGTCGAAATGGTTTCCAATTTGTATAATTTTTTGCAAAGATGATCTATGAATGTAAACTTAAAATATAGATGTTCGGATTGTTGAAAAAAAATTTATAGTTGGCCCTAAAGGGTGTCTCTCAAATAATTTGAGGGATCCCTCAATAGAAGGAGACTGTTTATAGGGTATTTTGTCCACATGGAAGTCTATGTCATTAAAAAATGGGTCCCACTTTTGACACGTGAGCATTTAACAGATTCACTAACAGTTTAGCTGTAATTGTAGGTTTTTTGCAAGTGTGAGTATATAATTGTAAATGTCCCTTAAAATGAGTATGAACTTGAAAATGACCCCATAGTTTAGGGGTCTTTCGTAATTTGTCCTAAAATTTATTTTTAACGTGTATCCATTTTTTACCTTATCCACGTGTAGAGCATTGAATGTTAAGTTCCTTATATAAAGGGGCGCTGGATGCATTGTAAAGACACACCAAAATTGAGAAAGAAGAAGAGAGAGAAAAGGAGAGAAAGAAGATATGGAAAAGAAGGAGAGAAAGAAGAGATGGAAAGAAAGGAGGGAAAAGAAGAGAAAGCGAGAAGGAAAGAAAGAGATCTAGAATTCAGTGAGAAAGATTATGATAACACTGCTAGTTGCAATATCACAGAGAATACTATATTTCACACACTCTCATATTCAGTCTATTTTATTACAGAAACTTGGATGATACAATTATTCTAACAAATACAATCAAGTCTCAAGATATAAATATGTATACTCTGGTTACATTTCTAAATTTAAGACTTGGAACAAGGAGGCATATACGCAGGTGGTGGGAGAATGCTGGTTTCAGTGGTGTTTCCATTCCTCACAATGAGCACAGTGTTCATTCCCCAGCTGGAATGCCTTTCCAAATGACAGTGCATATACCATACTCCTGAAAATAATCATCAAATATAATTCATTTAATTAATTAGTTACCCTAGCTCCATGGTTGTTCTTAATTTAATTTGCCTAATTACATACATCATACATGTGACATGTGACATGTACATTAATCAGGTAGCTGTAGAAGTAGAACTTACCAGGATTATCAGCTACAAATCTGATGGCTGCCCACCCTTTCTTCGGTACACCAATGGTGTTTACTTCTGGTGGATCAACCAAATTGTAGGTCTTAGGTGACGTCGTACTGTTGAAATTCCCAGAACCAGTTCCAACCAAATAGAAGCTGAAACCATGGAGATGCATTGGATGGTTCTCAGCGGCAATCATGCTGGTCCCTTGGAAGATTATCTCAACTTCTTTACCATATTTAATCATCTTCACCTTCGTCGCAAAGCTCGGATATATTGTGTTGTTTTGTACGAGTCCCGTGAAGTTGAAAAAATAAGGCGGTTTGTCTGGGAAATTAGGTGTGTAAACTCCATTAATTCCCCTGTACATAGGTAATAAGGTCATTTAAGTTAGAACCTTTTTTTTAAACAAGGTTCAACGTCGCAAAAATGAACAAGTAAGCAGACGTGGTTAGGCTAGTGGGTTAACAAAATTACAACATTAACCAATTACTTGAGCAACCAATTCAAATTACGATACGTACCCATAATATGCTTGCAGTATATCAATGGATGGAGTCACAAAACTGATGTTGTTTAAGCTTGCAGCAAGTGCGTTGTTATCTGGCCCATCACAAGAAGAATTGGGACAAATTCTTTCATTTATAGAAACAGTGATGAAGAGCCTATGTGAGATGTTTACGGGGACACTAATGGGGTGCTCTTCGCTTGCCAAGGCCCTCACTTGCGTAGTGAAGTTTGCAGCAGCTGTGTCGTCGTCGTGATCGGGAAGATTCGGTAAGGGGATGGTTGAGGGGGCACTGTAGTTGCCGTTGTATTGAAGAATAGCAGTGGTGGTGCTGTTGTTGAATGCAACGTCCCCATCAACAAAAGAAGTAGAAGCTATGTAATAGTGGCTTGGAGACTGGTTAGCAGTGACCAAAATGTCCATGGTTTGGCCTGGAGTTATCATGACGTATGAGGTGGTTATAGGTTTTATGTATGCAGCGTCTTGAGCTACCACTGTGAGGTTGTGGTTGGCGATGGCGAAGAAATGTTCTTCGTTCATCACGGCATTGATTACGCGGAGAAGATAGGTCTTGCCATAATCAACTAACCAACGATATGTTGTCTCTGCAACAGTAAAATAATTAATAAGGTGTTTCTCACACACATCACCGATAAACCAATAGCTAGTTTGAAATTGATTACTAAGTTTTGCTAGCTAATCACCACAAAAGTCAGAGAAACTATACACATGGTTTTATGTTTCATAGATACCTTACGCAGCTTCTGGTGGATCAACCAAATTGTAGGTCTTAGGTGACGTCGTACTGTTGAAATTCCCAGAACCAGTTCCAACCAAATAGAAGCTGAAACCATGGAGATGCATTGGATGGTTCTCAGCGGCAATCATGCTGGTCCCTTGGAAGATTACCTCAACTTCTTTACCATATTTAATCATCTTCACCTTCGTCGCAAAGCTCGGATATATTGTGTTGTTTTGTACGAGTCCTGTGAAGTTGAAAAAATAAGGCGGTTTGTCTGGGAAATTAGGTGCGTAAACTCCATTAATTCCCCTGTACATAGGTTATAAGGTCATTTAAGTTAGAACCTTTTTTTTAAACAAGGTTCAACGTCGCAAAAATGAACAAGTAAGCAGACGTGGTTAGTCTAGCGGGTTAACAAAAG